GTTCAAAGCGCCCAAGGGCGGGACTCTCATCGATTTGGATCTGCCTCGTGTACAGCGGCTAATACGGCAAACAACAGCTAAACTATTTTACAACCGTCTCAACTCGATCGCAGTGTCTCGCGGTGAGACGAGTTGAGACAGTTTAGAATTGAGCAGCCCTAGAAGTAAAGGGAGAGCAAGCCTGCGAAGCGCCGCCATCAGACATGTCTTCCGTCGCCACAAACCTCTTCCCCGTACCACCAACACGCATCGTCTCCGGTTTCACAACATGTTCTCTCGTCGACGTCCCTCATGTCGCCAAGGTTGCGTTGTCGGATTCAGCTCTTGGCATCCACAAAGTCTCATCTCAGACATCGCACAACATCGTAACGCCGCCGTGTCCAGAACCAGTATCGCGAGAGGCACATCCACGGGCATGGGAAGCGTTCTTTCCCGAAGGCAGCATCAATCCCGGGAATAAGCAGACAGCTCCAGGGGGCTTTGGCTTCTACATGCAAGGACCGGGGCCTTTTCATAAGAAACTGACACAGGAGACCCCGGATGAAGTAGTGATGAGCTACGAGGTTATGTTTGAGGAAGGTTGGGAGTGGAGGAAGGGTGGAAAGCTCCCTGGTATCTGTACGTCTTTTTACCTATGTTTCTGCACGCATATACTCATGTGAACAGACGGCGGTGTGGGTGAATCTGCGTATGGTTGCACAGGTGGACGTCAAACTGACAGGTGTAAGTGTTTCAACCTCCGGCTAATGTGGAGGTCAGTCATATCCACATACTCCGTCAAGCTCATGCTAAAAAAGGTTTTATCTTGTCTACAGGGAGAACGGCACAGGCGAATTGTATGCGTACTTACCTCAGGACGCTGCCAACACTGCAGCTATGCTCGCCATACCGCCTCGTTCCATCCAGCATCCGGACTACGGATTCTCGGTAGGCAGAGGAGCGTGGAAATTTGTCACTGGGAAGTGGACGGCTGTTGCTGAGCGAGTGAAGATGAACACGGTCGGGAAGGCTAACGGTGAGTACTACAGAAGCTGTCTGAATGCAATCATATTCTTGTATGGTTGATAGACAGTACTAGTCAGATCGCTGATGCTTGAATCACAGGGGAGATTGAGGTGTTTATTGACGGACGATCAGTGATCAAGGCTATTGGTCTCGTCTTACGTGATCAAGAAGCACCAAGTTCGTGTGTTCGAGGGATGCATTTCCAGACTTTCTTCGGAGGTCAGTTTGACATTATACTTAAAACCAACGGAAACGTTGTTTCTTGACATTGATTGATCTCATACTTGTTCAGGGCATTCCGAAGACTGGGCATCACCCAAGGACCAGAAGGCGTGGTTTACGAACGTTTCTGGAGCAATCCTCCGTCCGTCTGCTCAGCCTCGCGATGAATTGTAACACATATAGCCACGTTTAAATTTCACAAGTGAGTGTTGTACCTGAGATAAACGAGAATTATATTACGCATTTCTTGCCCTTACGTCGGAGATTCAGGCCGTTCGGGTCCGAACCAATAAATCAATTTAGTTTTTATCTATCCACCTATATTATCCACATCAGAGATTTCACTGTGACTTTCGGTGCATCGCTGTGCATCGTCGCTGTACCGGTAAAGTCATACACACTGCAATGTCGCAGTACTACGGCGATTGAACCCCGAATATGTTTTATGAAACTACCATAGGAGGTCAACACCACTCATCACTGAGATTAATAGTACAATCCGTGAGTTCTGTCATACTCTACGTTGTCACTCCGGATGACCCGGCCTCATAATTCCGCCCTATATGAGCCTATATGATCACAAAAGTCTCGTGCAATACGCTAAAACAGTGACTATCCTACCACACCTCGGTGTTCCGCGTATTACGGTGTTTCGAGGCTGCCTCGTCCCAGCTGGTGGTTTCTGCTGGGCCTACGTTCCCGAAGGTCGCCGTACTTCCCAAAAAGTCATTCAGTAGCCAGCTCAAGTCTAGAGTCAGGATATGTACGTTATCATCATAATCTCATGGAGCCCATCTTCCTGTGTAATGTCCACAAACGGAGGTTTGTGGCATCGGAGCCGAGTGCCGTCGTAACTAAGGTATGTTCACCCGCAGCTCTTTGACTGAAGACTTAAATGGACGTGGAAAGACGTACAACCCTCGCCAGGGCGGGTAGGCCAGGGCGGGGCTCAGCGCGGCTCTCGGATGTGATCGGCGGTATGTGGTCACATTGAGCGGGAAAACATATCTTACCTGTTGCGCACACTTTCAACTACTTTCAAGCGTGATGAAATCAAGATGGTATCTGGGGTAATCTGGGGTTTAGCCTTCGCTGACGGCTCTAGAGACCCGTGCCATCGGTGCTCTCCACGCTCGAATGAAGAAGTTTTGAGCGTACCAGTGGAGTATCGTACAACTTTGTCCTCGTCCAGAGTGTCTCCATCAAATGGATACATGTGCTTCTCAAACTCGTTTTTCCTGTGCCTGAGGCAGCTGACCGCCAAACTCCCGCGTAAGGTATGTTCACCTGCATTTAGCTGCATATGATAACATACGCATCAGGTCTCCATATTACGGTCGTCAGAAGATGAAGAAAAAACGCTTGCACTACGGCCCGGTTCGAATGTTGGTCTATAAAGACATGGATGAAGCTTCTAGTTTCTCCGAACCTGGTCCTTCTTCCAACCTATTCCTCGAGTCACCCGCGTGGAGTCATCGTTCGCGAAGATGGGCAAAGGCGTACGTTGTTGTTCCCAGTTTTATCATCCTGCCGTTCTAATGCGAATGTATCCGTACACAGTATAGTGCTCGGATTGCGGCCAACCCAGTGCGTACCATTCGGTGCATTCTACTAGCAAAGGGGCTTACATTTTCTCTACTGTAGTATATCGTCGGATCGTTCGCATGTATCGGTGGTGGTCTTTTTGGATTGGACATCTCGTCCATGTCCGGTGTGCTCAGTGTAAGGATTTTGTCATGACTTTCTATATTCCGTCTGCTTATCTCGTTATCTTCGGTAATAGAATGATGCCTACAAGAACTCATTCGGTAACCCTGGCTCTAATGCGCAGGGAGCCATTGTCGCGGCTATGCCCGCAGGTTCCTTAGTTGGTTCTCTCATTGTCGGCCGTCTTGCGGATAAGATCGGTCGTAAGAAGACGATTATGATATCTGGGTGGATCTGGGTGATTGGCAGCATTCTTCAGTGCGCTGCTGTAAACCGCGGCATGCTTGTTGCTGGTCGTGTCATATCCGGTATAGCTGTTGGTATCGCCTCCGCTTCGGTCCCTATCTATCAATCCGAAATCACTGCTCCCGCTATCCGTGGCCGTCTTGTTTCTATGCAGCAATGGTGAGCACCAAATATGAATTATCATCTGCACAACGCTGATGTACTGTAGGTCCATCACATGGGGTATTTTACTGCAATACTTCGTTGAATTCGGTTGCTCCTACATCAATGGCCAGGCATCATTCCGTATTCCATGGGGTCTTCAGATGATTCCTGCTATCGTACTTTCTTTGGGAATGATCATGTTCCCGGAGGTACGTATTACAACGTCCCCATATCATCTTCCCATCGCTGACCATATCCGTATCTTAGAGTCCTCGTTGGCTTATCGATCATGACCGCCAGCCAGAAGCCCTTGAAATTCTCGCCGATCTCCACGGTGGAGGCGACCCCAACACAGAGCTCGTACAGCTCGAGTTCGCTGAAATCAAGGAGCAAGTACGGTTCGAACGCACTGAGGGAGCTAGGTCGTACATGGACCTCCTCAAACCTGGTATCTTCCGTCGTGTCGGTTTGGGTGCCGCTCTCCAAATGTGGAGTCAACTTTCCGGAATGAACATTATGATGTGAGTACCGTGAGATGTTTCTGCGCGAGCTCCATTTTGACTTTGATCTACAGGTACTACATCATTTATGTCTTCCAAGGAGCTGGCCTCACAGGTCGCCGTGGTAACCTCATTGCCGACTCCGTCCAATATGTACTCAACGTCGCGTTCACGGGTATGTGCTCCCACCATGTTGATCCTCTACAATTAGTGACGTAGTCCACTTCTAGTTCCGGCTATCATCTACATTGACCGATGGGGTCGCCGTCCCATGCTTTTGGTCGGCACCTTCCTCATGGGCTTCTGGCTCATGCTCGTCGGTGGCTTGCAGGGCGGATTCGGAAACTGGGGAGAAGTTGATGGTGCCCGTGCGTTAACATGTCCACTGATACATCATCATTATCTGAATTAGATTTCGCTGAATAGGTGTCTGGGTCATTACTGGAAATGACGCTGCTACGAAGGGTATCATCGTGTGCTCGTACCTTTTCGTCTGTAGTTTCGCTATCACTATGGGCCCGGTCTCTTGGACCTACCCTGCAGAGATCTTCCCCATGCGTGTCCGTGCGAAGGCTGTCTCCGTAACGACTGCAATCAACTGGTAAGCCGTTCATTCCGACCTTTCACTTCTCTGGTGCTAACAATATTGCGTAGGCTATTCAACTTTGCACTGGCCTGGGCTGTCCCACCTGGCCTAGCGTCCATTGCCTACAAGACCTATTTCATTTTCGGCGCGTTCAACTTTGCGGCCTTCATCCACATCTTCTTCTGCTTCCCAGAAACGTCCGGACGCACACTTGAAGAAGTCGAGGACATCTTTACGCAAGGACACATCTACACTGCCTGGAAGGTCGACAGACATGTTGGTGAGAGGACTCTCCAGCAAGTCATTGCGAAAGAAAAAGACACGGATTCGGTGAGAGACCACAAATTATCACGGCGTATCATATACTGATTGCTATTGTGCGTCTTCACAGCACGAGGATCATTATGAAGAGAAGGCATAGGAGAAAGTTCCTTCCCTTCGCATACGCTTTTAATTTTCCTAGCTTAGCCCCCCATGTATTTGCAGTGTTTTATTTTGGTGTAACAATGATGTTTGAGCAGTGCAAAAGTTGCTTCAAGCCTTTAATCTCGTCGTAAGGGCAAGCAGGCGCTAAATAAAACTCCATCAATGGGCGCATGGTGTAGTTGGTTATCACATCCGCTTAGCACGATTCTGAGCGTGTAAGTTTGCGGGGGGTGCTGGGTTCAATTCCCAGTGCGTCCAATTTTTTTCCCCACCATTTTGTCCAGACTCCAATGTCCATAGTGCATGCCTGGCATTGTTTGCGCGTTTCCCTTCGAACGATAAATTCTCAAAATAGTGAATAATGAGTCGTGAAATAACGTGCACAACCTTCTATCATGGCCATTTTACTGGTCGTCGTCGAATGATACCGAGTTTGACGCAGAGATAGTAATGGAATTGTGTATGACAGGTTCAAGACCATGGTCTTCTTGTAGGGTAATCAAATTACTCATTATTCACGAACGCGGACAAGAATTTGTGAAACGGTAGTATTAGCTTTAAGCCTTCCGTCTCTCTCAAAGCTCAACATGCCATCTGAATCCAACACTGACAAGCAGGATCGCACAATACGACACAACTCGTCTTCGACCTCTTCACGCTCCTCTTCATGCCTCACCGACTCTTGCAATCCGTTCCATCGGATACAAAGTTTTGGACCTTTGTGTTTAGTGATCACAGACTGCAACCATAGAAGCCCCTGCGCCATGTCCTCAACCATGCTGTAGAGACGATTGAGGTGCATGTAGTCGCCATCGAACAATATGTCCAGAGTAACTGTCTGTAGGGTTGCGGGAGCATATATGGCGAGCACACTGGCAGCTCGAAATATCATGTCGTTGTGTGACTGGTGTTGGCGGTACCGGCGATCAAGAAGAGGGAGAGGAGACATCGTAGACATTCGTAATGTTAAGTTGGTGAGAGCCGTGCATGCAGGAAGATTGTATGCAGTCAACAGCATAGTTGAGAGAGTATCTTCATCGTAGTGGCGGTTTACTAATAGGATAAGAACAGCAAGTGTATTCAGTATGGTGATGCAGTGAATGAGTGTACTGGGCGAACCTCGAAAGAACAGGACAACGTCTACTGCGAGCTTCCTAATCCTCGCGCCTGCAATATCCAGAAACAATCGTAGGGAGTCGATGTGAGCCCTTGTCCGACAAGAAACGTCCACTTCGCGTATGGTCTCTACAGACGCCGTCCTCTGTATTAAAGCGAGAAAAAATGGAGTATACTTACCACTGGCATCACAGACCTCGATAGACGAGATCTCCAGGCGTGAAGGGAAATATGGCTGTGTAGTTACAAGGGACGGATGAGCCGCTACAACTCTTGGGTCTTCCGGGATGTCTGTGGCGTAGACCGGACTCGATATGCGGAGGAGATTGATGGAAGAGAAGAAGCACAGCGATAAGACAAGGTCAGAAGGGTCCGTGAAGGACGATGGGGTAAAAGCATCTAGAGTGAGACTATCCAGATTGACAGGATCAGGTTGACCATCATGAGGATCTGTATCAGGGGCGATCCATTTCAGTTCAACGCCGCAGATGTCTAAGTCAAGAAGATTAGGCAGATTGGATAGCAGCGTTTTTAGCATGGTCGTGGTCAATGGTCCCAGGGAGCCAAACTCGCTTTCCCGACCATCAAGACAGAGGTGCTTTATCAGAATGCAAGCAGGGGGATTTATTCGAGGACCTCCATCGGCTTGAGTGAGGAACTCGATGAATGGTGGAAAGTGCGTCTTGAACCCGAGGACTTGCACCTTTGCGAAGAGATGGTGGCGGGATCTTGAGAGCCAAGATCGTGAAACAAGGGTGCAAGATGATAAAGTTGCTTTGTCCGTGTATAACTGATCGATGATATTATCGGTAAGTTCAACGGGGAAAGACGGTATACAAATGGCCTCAGGAACGTCGGACATGGCGGCAGGATGCAGAATACTTGGGGGGATCAGCTGTGTGAGATTATTTAAAGGGCAGTAGACTCATTCAAACTCACTCCGCAAAGTCCGCCGAAACGCGAATACATTCTATAGGCCAAATACAAGACGATTCCCTAGACTGGTACAATTCCAGTATTATATGGAATAAGACAGCCTGAGGGTTGCGACCTATGTATATAAATCCCTGACAATGTGGAGCATAATAGGAGGTACTGGCGACTTGGCGTGATACTGGGGAGTTCCAATTGCTATTCGATAAAGTTTGTAAGAGCAGTACACGCAACTCTTACATAAGGCCGGATGCTATCTGGCCTAAGTCGAAAGTGAGTATGCGATTAGAGCTGTTAGATAGGAAGAGTGTTTACACAAATTGTCTTGGTAAAGTGGATGAAGTTATTCACCTCGAGTAAAGAAACCCAGTAACTGAAGGAGACCAAGTAAGGCTAACCAGATGAATGGGGTGAATGTAGTCTGGTCGTCCTCACCAAGTAGTTCGGGGACGACCCAAGACCGCAAATGTCTAGGTCGAACATATTCGGCAAGTTGGATAACAGTGTTTTCCGCATGGTCATAGTCAATGACCTTAAGAGGGAGCAAACCCGAGGTCCATCAAGACCTAGGTACTTTATGAGATTGCAAGTGGGAGGATAGAGTTCAGAACCTCCCGTCGGCATAAACGAAAGACTTGATGGTACTAAGTCTGAATGATTTCCATTGGCTGCGGCGCTGCAGATGCACTATGTCCTGCTTGAAGCATGCCAACGCAAGTCGGCTGAGTATGCCCGACTCCTTCGGAATCCCCGCTATCAACAGCGATATCTGCTGTCGCAACTCGACCTAGTAGCGAGTGGATGATAGTCATCCCATGTGCTTGGCTTTCTCTTATGTGGTGTATTCGCACGAGAAGGTGTAATGCAGCTGAATCTATGATTTTGTACGAAGAGAAATTTACTGGAGGAGGGTACTGAGGACGCTCTGATTAACGGACTGCCAGGACACGCCGTATCTGGCAGTCGCCGATCATCTGGCAATGAATCCAGATCCACGTAAAGCTGAGCAGATGGGACAAATTCAAATATTGTGAAGCCAGCTGATCTGATACGGTGCGATAATGAACACGGGGCGGGCAGATAAATCGAGTGACCTTCATTGATCGCGGGTGGAGCAAGGCGAAGATATTGGGATTCTCAAAGTTGCAATATGATTTGTATGCCACAATCGCTGCCTCCAACTCCACATATATAATGCCAAGCCTTGAACAGTCTGTGTAGACTCGGTCTGAGTGATAAGTTGGAGAATGGGCGTTTCCAGGAATTTTGATAGCATCGTCAGGACTTGAGGACGTGGACTTTTTGCAGTCGGGTGATGAGAGACCAAATGATAGAGTATCGGGCTGTGGTTTGCCAGTGGCGTCTGTCGTCGGTGTAGTACGAGAGGCTGCCGGGGCTCAGGAACAAGTACACGAAGGAGAACGATTCCGTGACGGATGAGGGCTTGTCATGGTACGTATCGGGAAGGGTATAGATGCAGATCTGGGTGATGCGTCCGGTATTTGGGGGGTAGCGTATCCATTAAACGTTGCAGGATAAGGTTCAAATCCCTTTGCGGTCCAGCTTCGAAAGCTTCAGCCGCATGACGCTATATAGCTCTTCCCGCTCTGCCTGTTCACCTGAATCCACGGTGGTCCATATGATAAACCGAACATGAACGTCGGAAATTCGTGGCAACTGTTCGATGATAGACTGCAATAACCTGAGTTCCTCGTCCATACTACGTCTGAGCTCGCCCAAGAGCCGACGCGACATGTCGTCAACGGATAATCTCAACATCACCGTTTTCACGGTTTTTGGGGCAAAAGAAAGGAGCGTAATGATAGGTGTGAGGAACGTAGCCGCGTTGTGGCGATATGTGATCGTCACTCGGAAGGCTAGGTTTGTGAGTGCGGTACATGAGGAAAGGTTAAACCTTTGTAAAACGCCGTACGGGATGTCGCCTAGGTCAAAAGAGGAAAAACGGATCATCAGATACTCGTTCCAAAACTTAGATAATGATACATACCATGGAAAACGTCGTTCTGCAAGTGGTATCAAGTGTGAAATTCTGAATCCGAGGTCCTACAATGCCCAAAAACGACCCCAAGGCATCCACTTGAAGCACTGTCTTGCAGGAGATGTCCACACCGGCAATCGTCTCTACTGACGCCGTTTGTGTGATCAACGCGAGGAGGAACGGAGAACACATGTCACGATCCGTGAAATGGATAGATGAGATTTTCAGGTTAGAAGGGAAATGGGGTTGTCGTTTGAACGACATTGTATGAGTGCCATCCAGTAATTCTGGGAATGACGTCCAGAGCCCAGACATACGGAGAACCTTGATGGACGAAAACAGAGACAGAAAATAGACAAAGTCGATGTCAGAGGTCGAGGTGGTAAGGTCTAGATTGAGACCTTGAAGGTGAACAGGACGATGAAGGGGAGGTTCATCATAGGAACCGGACAGTGAAGGGTCAACCCAGCGAATCTCGATGTCCGTGAGTTCCAGATGGAGGAGATTCGGGAGGAGGGATAGCAAAGACCTCAGCGTGGTTGTAGTCAACGGGGTCGTTGGCTCGTCAGGGAAGCCCTCCCAGGTCTGTTCGATACGTACATACTGTACGAGACCAGACACAGGATGGTCTGGCCACCGTGCTCTGTTGTTTCGGGTGATGAAGGCGAGGAATCCGCCTAGTCCGTTTCTCAATCCCAGTCTGAGTCGAACACGGGCGAAGAGATTCCGTCGAGACCTTGGGGTCCAGGAACGACAGACAAGGGTGCAAGACGATAAAGATCGTTTGTCAAGATATAATAAATCGATTATTTGGTCGGTGAGCTCGAGAGGAAGTGATCAGGCTCGGACATGGTCGTTGAGCAGAATAAAGTGACGGTCGCCGCCCGAGACGCAGGTTCGAACCCAGGCTACATACCGGCAATTAATTAGACATGTTAACTCGGGGGGTGCCGTCTGCGCCAGCAGCAACCTTGCTTGAGATTGAAGGCTGAGTATGTTGTAGTCTGATTTTAGCTCGGGTCTCTGACATGAAATATCGTAGGGTAGAATTATTCAATACTAGTAGTTAAGCAAAATACACTCTTGTCTGCGGTGAGGATGTGCGGGCGCTAGCGTGTGCGGGCCGGGCCGCGAGTTGAAAAGTGTCGACAATTTCAGTTTTCAGAGAAACCTTGTCAAGCAAGGTAATTGAACATACGCACGGAGAACA